CTATACACAAAAGCATATCATCTGTGAGCACAGATAATTTCATTTCTTCCTTTCCAATTTGGATACTTTTTATTTGTTTTTCTAGTGTTACTGCCCTGACTAGAACTTCCAGTACTATGTTGAATAGAAGTGGTGAAAGCAAACATCTCTGCCTTGTTCCTACTCTAAGAGGTAAAATCTTCAGTCTTTCACCACTGAACATGATAGCCACTGTGGGTAATTCATAACTATATTGAAGTAGTTCCCTAATATTCCTAGTTTGTTGACTGTTTTTATCATGAACATATTGTTCAAATGCCTTTTCTGCACCATTTGAGATGTTCTTACATTGTTTTTCCTTCATTCTGTTAATGTGGTATATTACATTATGATCTCTTGCTTGTTATTAGTACAACAGACTCCCACCTGATTTCTCTGTCATCAGATTTCTTTAAAATCTAGTTTCTGGGCCGGTGCCATGGTTCACTAGGCTAATCCTCCACCTGCGGCGCCAGCACACTGGGTTCTAGTCCCAACTGGGATGCCAGATTCTGTCCCTGTTGCTCCTCTTTCAGTCCAGCTCTCTGCTGTGGCCCAGGAGTGCAGTAGAGGATGGCCCAGGTCCTTGGGCCCTGCACCCGTGTGGGAGACCAGGAGGAAGCACCTGGCTCCTGGCTTCGGATCAGCACAGCGCACCGGCCGCAATGTGCCGGCCGTAGTGGACCCTTGGGAGGTGAACCAATGGAAAAAGGAAGACCTTTCTCTCTGTGTCTGTCTGTCTGTCTCTCTCTCTCTCTCTCTCATTTCTGCATAGCAATTAGAACACTATTCTCTAAAATGTGTATGAGGGGGGAGATCATTCTCCACTTAAAAGTCTATGGATCGGGACCAACACTGTGGTATAGTGGGTAAAGCCACAGCCTGCAGTGCTGGCATCCCATATGGGCACTGGATGGAGTTCCAGCTGCTCCACTTCTGATCCAGCTCTCTGCTATGGCCTGAGAAGCAGTAGAAAATGGCCCAAGTCCTTGGGCCCTTGAACTCTTGTGGGAGACCCAGAAGAAGCTTCTGGCTCCTGGCTTCAGATCAGCACAGCTCTGGCCACTGCAGCCATCAGGGGAGTGAACCAGCAGATAGAAGACCTCTCTTTCTCTCTGCCTCTCTGTAGCTCTGCCTTTCAAATAAATCTTAAAAAAAAAAAAAAAAAAAGGGTTTATGGATCCCCAAAGTACAAGTTCTCAAAAACCTGTTCTCTTAACATATCTTTCACTCCTTTGTCTCCCATTTTATTCTGCACCAATATCAAACTGCATTTATCTCCTTCCATACACAACATCCAGATCATACTATTTGTTCTGAATGGAATATGATTCCTGGGATTCTTTATTTGGCTGACAGTGACTCATTCTTCACAATTCAATTTGGACTTCAACATCTCTAGTCTTTTTAAAATACACTTATTCACAAATATTTATTCTATGTCTGGTACACATCGCACATTATGCTAGGCATTAGGGCTATGCAGGCAGATAATGCAAAAAGGTTCTTCAATGAAAATGTTTTTGAAATTTACCCCTACCCCATCTGTTCCCCTAACATCTCATGTTTACCTCAATTTTTTTCTCATTAATCATATATATGAAAATATAAATTAATCTTACCATCACATACTGAGCATTTAATAAATGTTTCTATAACCAAATCTATAAACTAATCTTCTAACATTAACTACATTTTGGGTTTGAGGGGGGGAAGAGTTATATGTTCCGATTGTCCTTTGGCTTCCTTCTCCTTCTCCTGCACTGTCACTCCTGCATTGTCAACTGAGCTTTGGACCAAAGGCCAGGGTCTACTGGGCCCCTGCACAGTCTCACTCAAGCAACTGAGAAAAGGAGGCAGAGGTACTCCATAGAATCAGAACTGTTGGGTGGGAGTTGGCATTGTGGCATCGTGGGTAGAGCTGCTGCCTGCAACCCCAGCATCCCATATGGGCGCCAGTTCAGTTGTTTCCAAGCTGTTCAACTTCCAATTCAGCTCTCTGCTAATGTGCCTGGGACAGCACTGGAGTGTGGCCAAGTGCTTGGGCCCCTACACATGTGTGTCAGACCGAGAAGAAGCTCCTGGTTCTTTCTTTCTTTCTTTCTTCTTCTTCTTTTTTTTTTTTTAGGAAAACTTTTATTTAATTAATATAAATTTCAAAAGCACAACTTTAGGATTATACCAGTCCCCCCCCCCATAACCACCCTCCCACCCGCAAACCATCCCACTTCCTACTCCCTCTCCCATACCATTCTTCATTAAGATTCATTTTTAATTATCTTTATATACAGAAGATCAACTTAGTATATACTAAGTAAAGATTTCAACAGTTTTCACTGTGTCACACTGACATACCAAGTATAAAGTACTGCTTGAAGCCTATTTTTACCGTTAATTCTCATAGTACAACACATTAAGGACAGAGATCCTACATGGGGAGTAAGTGCACAGTGACTCCTGTTGTTGATTTAACAAGTGACACTCTTATTTATGACATCAGTAATCAACCAAGGCTGTTGTCATAAGCTGCCAAGGCTATGGAAGCCTCTTGAGTCCACAAACTCCGACCTTATTTAGACAAGGCCATAATCAAAGTGGAAGTTCTTTCCTCCCTTCAGAGAAAGGTACCTCCTTTTTGGATGGCCTGTCCTTTCCACTGGGATCTCACTCACAGAGATCTTTCAATTAGGACATTTTTTTTGTCACAGTGTCTTAGCATTCCATGCCTGAGAAACTCTCATGGGCTTTTTAGAAGCTCCTAGTTCTGGCCTAGCCCAGTCTAAGCTACTGTGGCCATTTGGGGAGTGAACCACCAGATTGAAGACCTCTCCTTCTGTTTCTCCCTCTTTTTCTGTACCTCTGTCTTTCAAATAAATAAATCTTAAAAAAAAAAAAAAAAGGAACCACTGGGTAGTAGCTAGAAGGACATAAATTTCAGCTTAAGCCATTCAACAATGGAACTTGTTGCCTACAGTGGGCAGAACCATATCACTGGAGAGAAAACATCAGCATATTTTGGGGGCATTCTGGTGGTAATATTTGATATCTACCATAAGATCAAATAGATGTTTAATTGAATACAAGATGGAGGTGAGTATAAATATAAGTTGGGCCAAAAGATCTCAAAAATCCCTTCCAGCTTTGTAATTCTTTGATAACATAAAAACTAAGTCACAGCTTCTCTCTCTGTCTTACCAACCACCTGGAGGGACTCATTTTAGAATTAGAGAAAGAAAGAATATTAATAGATTCATCTCAGATAACCAGATGTTAGGATACTATTGAAGCTGTGACTGTTGCAGCTTGGCAAAGCCTCCTTACCCCACTCTAAACACAAAAACTGCTTCCCACTTTATGGCATTTACTTCTCTCTGTTAAAGGGACTGCTGAAATAACACATAAAATAGTGAGGAAGAGGAATAAATAAATGAAGTAAAGCAGTTACCTGTCACCTCTCAGGGCACAGAGTAATTAAGTTTTGGTTAGAGCAAGTTGGCTACATTTTAACATTACTGGAATTATCCATAAAAAGTTGAGGTAGTAGACTTACATACATTGCCATTATAAATACACTCAAGCATTACAAAGAAATGTCTCATTAGACTATTTCTGGCAATTTCTGCTAAGCAGTGAAACTCAATATTATTTTCACAAAGATTAGTGAGATACAGTGTTGGAAAAACAGTGTGAGCTTTAAAGGAAATTAATTTTTGGAGACTAAGTATAGCACAGTACAGTAATACAATAATACTTCAAATGGTTCATGGAAAATGGAATTAAAAACATTTGTTTTAATGCAAAAAATTTTGAATTTTGAAGGCCATGCATTGTACTTTCATAATACAGTACTTTCCGTGAACTTTTTGAAAATCTCACATATTTGCAGCTGGGAAAAAAGACTGCTTCTCTGAGATTTCTAGAAAATGTAAAAAATTAAAGCGGCAAATTCTCATTTTCATAGATGATCACAGAATGGAACTTCACTTAGACAGCTCTGTATCTCTTTCACATATTTAAGTGATAGAAATATTTTGAGGATGCCCTGTGGCACTTCATTAATGAGTATCCAAACATATTAGTTTAAATAAAAATAAGCAATTACATTTTAGATAGAATGCAAGTGGAAAAAAGTTTTATTAGACTAGCACAAACTTTTGAATACTTCAATTACACTCTCTTCTACAAAACTCAGGTGTAAATGATGTTTTTCTGTGGTATATAGTATGACCTTTGTTGGATACACTTTTAAAGATGTAGTGATGGCTAGAACATACGAAGAACCCAAATACACACTTGCTAGATGAGCAAGTTGTAAAAGTCCATGTTCTCTTTCACATTTTCTTATAGTCAAGGTCAGAGGCAGGCATGAAATACTACTGGCAGCCATGGAACAGAATTATGTTACTGCTTTTTAACATCCTTCAGGTCCACATACCCACAGCATATACACAAACACGTTCAATCTCATTAGCTCCCCACTCTTTGTTTCTACAGCATCTTGTGCACATTACTGTCACTGTGTCTTTCCATTATACCATCATCAGCTTACTGAACTATCACCCTTGACTCTGAGCATCTTGGTATGGCTTCAGTGTGTTACTAATCTTTGTTTTCTAATAACAAGCACAAGACCTAGTTCATAGAAGTGTTCCGAACAAATATGTTAAAGAACTTCCAGGATCAATCCTAATAAATGTACTCATCTACAGTCAGCAGATACAAAAAACCTTGTGTTGATGTGCCAGTTCTAAGGAAAAATCATTTCAAAGAATCTACCTGAATCTTTTCTGTTGAAATACAGAACTAGTACATTACCAATAACATTGCACAAATAATTTCTCCCTTCAAGAATTTAACAAGATTTTATTCACGCTACATCAACTTTATCAATTAAATGCTGTGATAGATAAAAAAGAATAGAAGTAGGCAGGTGGGTGGAGGATAGTCAGTGTGTTCAGTGAAAAGCTGGAAAATGGGCTTACCTCTTCGGAATGTTCCCGGGTCTGTGACGGTGAAGATCTTCTTCCTACTGTAAGTCGATGGCAGGGATAAGACAGCCCTGATTCTGCAAGACACATCTGTAAAAAGCAGAATCCACAATTTGTAAATAAAAAATGTATCCATGCTTTACAACATTATTTTGCCTTTCTGGTATTCTCTATTATTTTTATTTTTAGTTTTTTGACAGCCAGAGTGGACAGTGAGAGAGAGAGACAGAGAGAAAGGTCTTCCTTTGCCGTTGGTTCACTCTCCAATGGCCGCCGCAGCCGGCGCGCTAAGGCCAGCGCACCGCGCTGATCCAATGGCAGGAGCCAGGTACTTATCCTAGTCTCCCATGTGGGTGCAGGGCCCAAGGACTTGGGTCATCCTCCACTGCACTCCTGGGCCACAGCAGAGAGCTGGCCTGGAAGAGGGGCAACCAGGACAGAATCCGGCGCCCGACCGGGACTAGAACCCGGTGTGCCGGCACCGCAAGGCGGAGGATCACTAGAGCCGCGGTGCCGGCCATTCTCTATTATTTTTAAAGCTAGATTAGAATGTTAACACTAGGGGCATTATATTATCAGAAAGTGTATTGCAACATATAGGATGTTACGAGAGCCAAGATCAATTTTCACATTAAATGATAGACAGGGGCTCCAGGAAATTGTAAAGCACTGAAAATAAACAAAACATAAACATTTTTGAGCCAATGTGTGACTGATACTTTTCTGATTAGTAGAACGAATACCTCAGTTCCTTAACTCCTAAAGCATTAAGGGTATCTGGAAAAGGTGGCTTTTCCGTGCTTAAGTTTCAGCATAAAATAAGGATTTTTTAAAAATTATTTATTTCATTGAAAGAGAGAATTCTTCCATCTGCTGGTTCACTCTCCAAATGCCCGCAATAGCCGAGGATGGACCCTATTTCATCTGGGCCTTCCATGTCAGTGCAGAGGCCCAAGCATTTGGACCTTCTTCCACTACCTTCCCAGATGTATTAGCAGGGAGCTGGACTGGAAGTGAAGCAGCCATGACCTGAATCAAACAGACTTCCATTTCCAACATCCAACAAAATGAAGAGTAAGAAATCTTCTTAGAACAAAACAAATAGATTTCTGAATAAAATATTTTGGAATGCAGGGTTGTGTTGATAAGAAACTAGGGGAAATCTACAGCTATCAAAAATGAATGAAAGTGAATCTGATGCCAGCTGCTGCGGGGGGAGAGGCACCTATTGATCCTTGAAATATTAGTTTCCTGGGGCTGCCATAACAAAATACCACAAATTCAGTGCCGTAAACAATAGCAATGCTCGTGTCTCACAGTTCTGGAGGCGCCAAGTCTGAATCAAGGTGTCTATAGAGTTAGTTCCTTCTGAGGGCTGTAAAGGGACTCTGTTCCTTTCCTGTTTCCTACTTCTGATAACCCCAGGCATTCAGGGTCTTGAGGGTGGTATTCCCTCTGTGTTTTCAGGTACTCTTTCTTCTATGTGCCTCTGTCTCTGTCCAAATTTCCCTTTGGATAAGGACATCAGTCCTATTGGATTAGGGCCCACATTAACACTCTCTTCTTAACTATATAAAAGCAAAAACCCTCTTTCCAAATAGTCACATTCACATGTACTAGGGATTACAACTTCAACATCAACTCATAATGTCTGCTGAACTATAGTTTTAATTTTTAAGGGACTCAGAGGGATAAAAGCCAAAGTTTAGGGCCATTACAAGGCAGGAAGACTGACAGAAGCCTAAAGGGGAATTCTAAAGGAAACAAGTGAATTTAAATATTCAAATATTGGGCCAGCATAGTGGGTAAAGCCACCACCTGCAGTGCCAGCATCCCATGAGGGCTCCCTTAATCATTATATAGTGCCCTTCTATGTCTCTTTTAACAGTTTTTGTGTTAAAGTCTATTTTGTCTGATATTAAGATGGCTATGCCAGCTCCTTTTTGGGTTCTGTTAGCATGGAATATCTTTTTCCAAACTTTCACTTTCAGTCTGCATGCACCTTTGTTGGAAATGTGTTTCTTGTAAGCATCAAATAGATGGGTTTTGTTTTTTAATCCATTCAGCCAGTCTGTTTTTTTTTTTTTTTTTTAACAGGCAGAGTGGACAGTGAGAGAGAAAGAGACAGAGAGAAAAGCTCTTCCTTTTTTTGCCGTTGGTTCACCCTCCAATGGCCACGGTGGCCAGCGCTCTGCGGCCGGTGCATCGCGCTGATCCGAAGCCAGTGGCCAGGTGCTTCTCCTGGTCTCCCATGTGGGTGCAGGGCCCAAGGACTTGGGCCATCCTCCACTGCACTCCCGGGCCACAGCAGAGAGCTGGCCTGGAAGAGGGGCAACCAGGACAGAATCCGGCGCCCTGACCGGGACTAGAACCCAGTGTGCCAGTGCCGTAAGGCGGAGGATTAGCCTAGTGAGCCACGGCGCCGGCCAGTCTGTGCCTTTTAACTGGAGAGTTGAGGCCATTTATATTCAATGTGACTACTGATAAGTAGTGACTTCATCCTGCCATTTTCCAAAGATATTTATAATTTATATTTTGAACTTCCTTTGATCTTTTACTGAGAGATTTTCTTTCTGTACCCTCTTTCATATTGATGACCATGTTTCTATGTTTTTGTGTGTAACACATCCTTAAGCATGTTTTGCAGAGATGGACGAGTGGCGACAAATTCTTTCAATTTCTGTTTGTTATGAAAGTTCTTTATTTGACCTTCATTCAAATGAGAGCTTTGCAGGGATTTTTTTCTGGGATCTTCTGGGATGACAGTTTTTTTCTCTTATGACTTGGGCTATTTCTTGCCATTCTCTCCTAGCCTTCAGGTTTTCTGATCAGAAGACTGCAGTGAGTCTAATTGGAGATCCTCTGAAAATAATCTGGTCTTTCTCTGTTGCACATTTTAGAATCTCCTCTTTATGTTTCACTGTGGTAAGATTGATTACAATGTGTTTTGGCGAGGATCTTTTCTGATAATGTCTATTGGGAGTTCTGTGTGCTTCCTGTACTTGGAGGTCTTTTTCTTTTTCCAAACTGGGGAAGTTTTCTGCTAGTATTTCACTAAAAAGGCCTTCTAATCCTTTTTCTCTTTCCATGCCTTCAAGAACTCCTAGAACTCGAATGTTGTGTTGTTTTTTTTTTTAAATAGTTTCATGTAGATTTCGAATTAGATTTCTAATTTCCTATTCTTGTCTTTGGATTCCCTGTATACTTTCCTGTGCTCTGTCTTCTAAGTCTGATATTCTATCTTCTGAATGATTCTGTTTTTAAGACTCTCAACTGCAATTTTATTTGTTCTATTGAATTCCTCATTTCATTTTAATTGCTCTTTAATACCTCAATTTCATGTTCTATTGAATTCTTCATTTCATTTTGATTCCTCCTTAAAATTTCAATTTCAGGAGATTTTATTTCATGTACTGAATGGATTTCAGTAGTTCAAGCATTTGCTTTTATTACTTCTATGTAATCCAGCTCATCGTCTACATAATCTAGTATTGATGAGTCGTGTTCTTTTGGGAGTGTCATGTTTCTTCCTTATTCTTGTTTCTTGGATTGTTGTGTTTGTGATTCTGCATTTGTGGAGATGCCTGTTGGTTTCTTCTACTATGACTCTGTAGATAAGTGGACTGTCTGCTTACAGTGAATCTCTAGAGGCTTGTAGTGGGTGTGGCCAGCGAGCTTTGTTCAGTTCTCCAGGGTTAAAGGCATGCCTAAGGTGACACACCCAGGTTTGGCATGGTGAATCTTCTCTCTCTTTTTTTTAATCTGAAGGGAGGTATATTCTGCTCAGTTGACTCTTCTCAATGGAGACCAGTGCCTGAGCACTAGCCCCAATGGGTGTAATATTCGTCTGCTCTCAACTTTTATTTCTTGAAAGTACATTTAAAAATTTTATATGTTCATTATGATCTCATGGAGATTAAGTGTTTAATGGTGGCTACCAAAGACTGCTTGATTAATGTGGAATAAGTTATATTTAAATAAACGTTCTGAAGTTTTACTGCACAGTAGGCTAACTACAGATAAGAATGTATTGCAAATTTCCCTATAGAAAAAAATCATGGGGTGAATATTTGGTTTAGATGCCAACTGGGATACAAATATCTGATATGGGAGAGTGAGTCTGGGGTCAACTCCTGACTTTCTATCTTTTTTATTGTTTTTCTTTTTATTTATTATTTATTTGAAAAGGCAGAGTTACACAGATAGAGGCAGAGAGAAAGCATGATTCTCCATCAGCTGGTTCACTTCCCAAATGGCTGCAAGAGCTGTGACTGGGCCAAGAGAAAGCCAGGAACCTAGAACTACATCCTAGTCTCCTACATGGGTGGCAGAGACCCAAGTACTTTGGATCATCACCTCCTGCCTTCTTGGGAGCATTAGCAGGGAGCTGGATAGGAAGCAGAACACCCGGGACTTGAACCAGAGTTCTAATGGGATGCTGATGGTGCAGGTGGTGGTTTAATCCACTGGGTCCCAATGCCAGTCCTCTGGCTCCATTTCTGATTCTAGCTTCCTATTAATACAGATACTCGGAGGCAGCACGTGATGGTTAAAATACTTGGATCCTGGCCACCCTGGACTGATCTTCTGTATATAAAGATAACTGAAAATTAATCTTGATGTGAATCGAATGGGAGAGGGAGCAGGAGTTGGGAGGGAAGTTATGGGGGGGAAAAGCCACTGTAATCCAAAAGCTGTACTTTGGAAATTTATATTTATTAAATAAAAGTTAAAAAAAAATAAGCGTTTAAACACTAAGATAGGAGCGTGTATGTTTTTACCATAAGGACATGTAAAACGTTTGAGGAAATAAATACCTTTAACATAATTGGACATTATACAATGTATATATGTATTGGAACATCACATACTACCCCAAAGAAAAAACACTGTATCACCATTAATGATAACTTTAGGGAATACCTGTATTACAGTGCATATTATGCAAAGTACTTTAAGTAGTAAATGGAGAAATGAAAATAGAAGGTGGGCTTATTTTGGTGTAAAAGATTTTTATATCCATTTTTTTCATAATCTGTATTTTCCACAAACTTTCTGAAGACCCCTTGTATATAGTACATTCTGTACTA